AAATTTAAAAAAAATGTTACTTGTATGCAAAAGACGGGATCAATAATGGTGAATGATTTTCTTTAATTTTAATTTTATATAGTAATGTTTTAGAAAATTTTTGAAGTTTTTCAAATTTTAGTCTCTTTTGTAATTCAATACCAATACAAAACGAGAAAAAATACCATGTGATACCCTGGCCAACTCTTTGATACCCGTACGAATTTGCTATACTGTCTTAATGATTACTGTCTAAAATATGGCCAAACTACTATTGAAGTTGTATGGCAGCTACCAGAAAGAGGCAAGCAATTTCAGCGAATTTTATCAAACCCATTGGCCCATCTAAAATATTCGCTTATGTGAAATTTCAATATCTCAGATTTTATAGTTTTGGAGATATACCCAAATAAATTTGGAAGTTTTATGGCAACTACCATAAGGAGCTAAGCAATTTCAACAATTCTCATCAAGCAGATTGACCCTACTAATATATTTACTTGTGTGAAATAATAATATCAAAACTTTTAAAGTTTCTAAGATATACCCAAATAAAGTTGTATGACAGCTACCCGTACCAGTACCACGATCATATCCAATTTAAATAGGGTTCTGACATTTACTATAATAAATCATTTGTGAAAATTTGGTGAACTTAGGTCAATTAGTTTTTGAGTTATCGTTGGAACGGACGGACGAACGGACGAACAGGCAAAGTTCGGAAAATCGACTCAGAATTCGATCCTAATCAAAAACATACAGACCATTGAGTCTATATCTAAGACCATTATTTCTTAGCGTTAGAAACGGTAAGGAAAATTTAGTATACCCTTTGAACATACGTTCGTACGAGTATATAAAGACAGTCAATATTAGCGCAAGAGTAATTTTTTTTTTCATATTGGTTAAAAATTTCGACTGGATGATTTAGAAAAAAAATGTAATAAATTTTGGAAGAACCTAATTAGTTCATATACCGCACAACTAGAAGTACCTATATGAAAGCTATAGCTTTTGAAGGAAAGCATTTGAAGGAAACTTTCTCCATTTTGTTTTTTATATATAAGTAACATAGACCAGAATATTTTTCATATACATATAACAAATTTTTTGATGTTTGAGTATTTGCAAGCAATTTTTGGGAAAACTATTTCAATTTTGTTCTTTATTTTTATAATAAGTAAAGGGAAAGCAAATATCCTTTTTAAGTATTCATTTTAAAGTGTTCCAATTTTAATTTCATTTATAAAAATTTTCTCTAACAGGATATTTTCTCTACTTTATAGCTATGTGCTCGTAAAAGAAAAATCAAAAAAAAAACAAGTGAAATATTTTTCATTCTACTTTTCTCATTCTTTTGGGTTTTTTTTAAATGACTGCGTCATTATCCGTACATTATTTGTGCCAAAACTATAAAATCAACGCGAAAATCTCATAGCAACTCATTTTGTTTTTTAAGGACGAATTTTTTTTAATTTTTTTTTCTCTTCTTAATAAAGAATTGTTGTTATTATTATAGTCTAAAAAAAAAACTGAATGAATTTTCGTGGTTTTTTTTTCCTACTCTCTATCTATAGTAAGTTTAAAGCAATAAAATTGAATAAGGATGAGCAAATTTCATCAGTTTCGCTATACATTTTCTATACTTATATCAAATAGTTATAGGACTATGTTAGAAATGAAAAAATTTAAATTATTATGGAGAACAAGTAACCCAAATATTTTTTCTCATAAGTATAACCATTAAAATACTTTGCAAATAAAATGAAAATTTCAATCAAAAAATATTTGCATTAAGTACGGCGTAATTGAATTGAATTGAAATTCAATAATAGAATTTGGATTTTTTATACACATTTTTGTATATATATATGCGCATATATGAAGTGACCTCGTCAAATATTAACCTAATTCTTTATTATCAGTTTCAATCAATTTAAATTATTGAGAAGGTATGTGATTTTGTACTGCGATATACATGCAATTTACTTATTATTTAATTTGAATTATTGGTTATTTTTGATGGTTTATAAATTGAGATTATTGAGAATTGGGAGAGTTTATTTAAGATCAGAAATTTATTTTGATTAAAAACTATTGAAACAATAATATTAAAAGTAAGCAATTCAATAGAAACATGGTCAAAAGCAAAGAGCCAATTAAACATTCTAGTCTCGTTCTACATCTGCCGTCAAAAGTTAGGCTATTTTACACAACTATTGCGCCGTCGATTAATACAACTCAACAATACAGACTATATTGCAATTTTGATTTGATAAGCCCATTGTAAAATAAAGCCCAGAATCGAATGAGAACATTACAAAATTTAAGGGATATAATTAAAGAATAACATTGTTCAAGTATAGCATTTAAAATCACACATACAGTAATTCCAATTGAACCATGAATCTAATGTAACACCCAATTATTCAAAAGAATTCACGCACACCCCACACCAAAACAACTATGTACTTGCATAATCAGTAAAAACATTAAAAAATCTTGGAATATATTTAAATTTCAAATATTTCAAATGTATAGTGTGTCGGCAGGGCAAAATCTAGCATCAAAACTAGAAAATATATAACAGACCTGCCTGACCTTTCATCTCTTACAAAAATTCCAATAAATTTGACATTTTTAAATTTAATGCTTGTGTTCTGTTGTTGTATTTAAGTGTCCTCTAAATTTTATTTGCTTTATTTGACCGATTTTACATAGTGTCAAGGATGATTGGGATTTTGTATTTTATACTTATGCACATACGTCGAAACTATTTTATTATAAAAATGTATGTGCAAGCAAAATTTTCAAATTCGATTTAAAACCAAAAAAAAAGCAATTCTTTTCTCAGAAATACGTACGCAGGGTTTGTGTAATTGTGTATGTAAGAACACACTTGTACTCGTAAAAGTTGAATATATTATGCTGTTACCAGGGTCACAAAATTCAAAGAACAAAAAAAAGGAAACTTAAAATTTCAAATATGAAAATTTAATTTTTTTTTTATTGTTTTTAAAATTTACAAATTAAATTTGCAACAAAAAAAAAAAGAAATTATCAAGGATTTTTTATATTTTTTTTTAATTTTTTTTCTTTTCATATTTATTCTTAGAAAAATCTCTGCATTAAACATTCAACTACAATGTATTTTAGTTTTTGTTTGACGGAAAATTCCAAGGATATATACACGCTACACTTATATATATACATATATTGTATGTATATGTATTTATGTATATAGTTATGTAGATATTGTATATATATGAGTCCGAAATATTGGGATTTCACAAGATTTTATAGTAGATGGCATTAAATTTATATTTAAATTTTTATTTTCCTTTTAGATATCTAATTCTTCTTATAAAAACTGCGGAACGCAAATAGGAAGAAAGGGCAACAAAGTGAGTTTCAAAACAAAATGGTATCGACCTAGTACCCATAGATTCACATGGCATACCAATTATTTATGCATTCTGAGTATACGAAATCAATTTTTTGTAAGTCAAAAATTAAATGTCAACAAACAGAAGGATTCATATTATACTTTTTCTAATTTTGTTTTCTTTTTGTTTTAGGACGGCGGCAATATTACAAAATTTATTAATGGAAAATTTGAACGCCGAAAGTTATACTTTTAAAAAAAACGTATAATTTTCATATTTTTCAAGGAGTAAATTATTCTTAGATCTGAATGACTCTATTGCTGAGATATTAAAATACACTATATATTTGGTGTATAAGTTTTTGGTTCAGGAATCAGCGCTGACAAGATAAAGTTACAAATATATGGCCACATATATCTTATAGAAGTCTATTTTTAAGTGTTATACAAGCAGCTTCATTTTTGCAATATAATAGTAATATTCAATGTAATGAAGTAAACAATCTACATATAGAGTATTGAAACTCATTATAGGTATTTATATAAATTATGTTTGTAATATATAAAATATAAAATGTTACACAAATTGATGCTTTTAATATATTTTAGGTTTTTAGCTATAAACAATATTGGCATTCGAGCATACATTGAAAATTCAAAGTGATCTCAACTCTTCCAAGTCATTGGTATAATCATCTAAAATGGAAATCTCTTTCATTCACGCAATCATGTTTAATATATATACCAATCCACATACTTGTATATATACATATGTATATTTTATACGAGTATATGTTAATTGAATTTGATATAAGTAACAAAGTTTTAAATTACTTTATATGTACTATATAATGTGTAGATTAAGATGACAATTTGTATTGCTATTACTACTTATAATATATACTTATATATATATATATATATATATATATATATATATATATATATATATATGTAATTCTATTATAAATACCAGCATAAGACTATCATATGTATGGTTTTCAAATTCCGAAATTTTCCAATTATTTCCATTAAAAGTTTTAACAAATTCATATAAGTAAATATACAGTAAAACAATTATTATCCAATTACTTATTCTAATTATTCTATAATTATTAAGAATTTAACTAGAGACACTAATTATATTATAAAATTTTAAAAATAGTTCTAACCAATGAAATCAAATTAATTTATATAATTATTATGTAAGAATTTTATAATATGCTTTTATGATTTCATAATGAAAATTCAATATTGTGTTGAATGTATCGCATAGCTATCATACATTTTAGTATGAGAAAATGAAATTAGATCTTTCTTTGAGCATATTGTTTAAATGGCAGAATTAAATTTCCGATATATAATAATGTCTATTACGAATCTATTATTACAATTAAAATTAATAATTAAAATTTGTTTTGACAGTAAGCTATGGAAGTTGACTTTAATCAAATATATTTAGTCTTCCATTAATTTAGAAATTTTTCTTATTCCAGTTCCACTATGTACTATAATATTGATGAATATAAATTTTAGATTCAAGGTTTAGATTAATAATTTAGAGTTAAACTTAAAACACATACAAAATTTTATTAATTAGAATTTCATTTAATTAAAAATTTAATTTAATTCTTACCTTTATTAAAAATGGCCAATCCAATTCTTTTGGATGATCAGCTGTTCCATAATCCTCTTTGTAATGCATTTTTGATTTTTGCTTTTTTTTTATTTTTATTTTTATTTAAATTAACTTATTTTTTTTTTTTTGGTATTTTATTTAAAAAAAAAAAAAAATTGAATTTTAATATTATAAAAAAATTGTTGATTTATTTATTTTTTTAATTATAAATTAAAAATCAAAAAAATTAAATTTTTATTCTCAATTACATTATGATTTTTTCTTTTATTTTAATTTTAATTTTCACCCGTTTTTATTCATGTTTTCTTTGTTCACATTAAAATTTATTTATTATTTCAAATGAAATTTAAATTTGAGACTTGTTTAATATTGTTTGCTTTTTTTTAAATTCACAATATTATTCATGGCATTTTACACTAGATTTAATTCACAATAATAAGTGCTAATTTTAGTACTTATATGTAATTAAAATTCAATAATTATTTTATTCTATAATAATTTTATTATTGCTCACATTTTATTTTTTTATGTAGAATTTTTCAAAAGAAATTAATTATTGTATAAAATTTCTATATAACAAAAGAAATATAAAAAATTTATTTTTTTTAAAATAATTTGAAGTTGAAATTTCAATGATATTATGAGTATAAGATTTGGTTTTTTATTTTTTAAAATTAAATTAACAATAAATGTAGGTCAAATATTTTTCAATTAATCCTCTAATATACTAAAACTATTCCATTTTGTTTTTATTCAATATAATTAATTAGGTTATTTTATTAAAATATTTGTATGGCAAATTTTAAAATATAAACTCTTTCTTAATATTAAAAATTATAATTATTATAGCTTTAAAATATTTTTTGAAATATTAAAATACATATTTGAAATATTATGAATTTATATATTAAGTATATGAATATTTATTGCACTTCTTATGTGTAAATTCTAAAATATTCAGACATATTTACTCAATTTAAACCAGTTCTAAATATGTATATATATATAAAATATTAAAAGAATCAAAGTATAACCTTTTAAACTGTCTATAAGAAACACTACATATATAAGTATGTATATTAGTCTTATGCTTGTAATCTTATAAATTTTAGCCGGAAAACCATGTATAAGGTCAAAAATATAATAAAATTTTGTTTTATTTAATTCTAAAAAATTACTTAAATAATTGTTTTTGAACAATTTCTATATATATAAATTATATACATAAACATATATATATATATTTATATATATATATATATACCATAAAAACATAGAATTCATTAAAATTATGCCCTATAAATTGCAATTTATATATATGAAAATATGCGAATAAATAAAGGGTATAATATAATTTTTTAAAAGCCTATATACACAAATTCCATATGCATTTTATACATTTATTACTATACAAACATAGTATATACGGGCTTATATAACAATATACGTTCATAATATACTAATATGTTATAATGCATTCAGACCTAAGTATGTACATACATAATACATATAAAATATATATCAAAAAAAAAATTATTTATATTTATTCATATATGTTTATTTATCAAATATGATAATAATTATGCTTAGAATAATATTATTATATATATTTGTTATACTGTTATATTATGTGCATTCCTATTTGCATATCTTTTAAAATTATAATATATATGTACATATATGTATGCGTATAAATAATTATATATGTATAAATGTACGTATATAATATTGTTAAAATATTCAAGCATTCATTATGGGATGTTTTCGTTTTTTTTTTTATTATTTTATTTTCATTATTATTATAATATTTACCGTCTGCTTTGATTACTGTTATACTTAAGTACCATTTATATATGTATATATATATCATTGTTGTATATATTATATGTATATACATATATATATATATATATATATAACGCACTATTTATCATAAAATATTTTATATTTTATAACAACAGAATAACAGAATAGAGGAAAAAAATTAATTTTCTTTGTCTGGATTCAAATTTAATATATGTAAACGAATATACATGTTTTGTACAAGTATACGTATATATGTATGTACATTTGTGTATTCTATAAATTATGTATATATACAATAAATTATGTTAAATAATATCAATTGTAAAAGTTCAATAAAATTTTAGATAAAAAAGAAAAAATTGATAAAATTGTCATTAAGTATAAAATAAAAATTTGTAAAAATAGAAAAAATTGTCTAAACTTTTAAAAAATTTAAATTTACTTGTATAACAATTATAAAAACTATTTTAATTACTATTGTATTAATAATTTTGATTTTGGAAATAGCATAATTATATGAAATTTTGAAAATATCAATAAAATTATTGAAATAACAATAAAATTTTACTTAAAATATGAGTTTTTGGGTAATCTTACAATTGTTGTCAATAAAATATTATTGTTCACTTTCCACTTTATTGTTGTTTTAAAAATTTAATTGTTATATTTTAATAATTTTATTGTTATTTTTAAAAATTTTATGTAATTATACTGTAATTCACTTAGTATCACAAGAATATTTCACTTAATTTATTTTTACTTTGATTATAAAGATTTTTAACACTCATAAGTATTGTTATTAAAAAATATAATGTATATATAAAATAATTTAAATGAATTTCAACAAATTAAAAACTAATTGATATTAAAATATTTTTTAAATACATTTTAATATTTAAATTAAAGCATTTAATATTTATTTACTTTAAATTAAAGGAAAATTATTTAAAATATTAAAATGAACAAAAAAAAGAGAAAAAACAAATTGTAATAGGAAATTTTCTCTTTCATTTTTATTATATTTTTTTTTTTTTTTTATTTTATACCCTTATATATAAAACAAGTTTATTTTGAAAAATTTTTCTTTATATGAGCACAAACACATATGTGCACATTTATTCTCAATTACCGTTTTGCAAAAAAGAATCTAAAAGGATATTTACAAATTTACAAACATGAAAGCAAACTTATTCGAATTTCAAAAAAAAAAAAAAATAGGAAAGTAAAAAATTAAAATTAAAATTTTAAAAATTTAAAAGAGCAAAAATAATTTTTTTTCTTTGTTTGTTTTTTTATTCCATTTTCTCATCAATTTTTTTTAACTTTACACTCTGCATTTCTCTATCTCTTTATTTTCTCTCTATCCCATTCTCTTTTTATCTCATTTCTTTCTCTCTACAAAATATTTATTTTATTTTTTTTATCTTTTATTATTCCCTTGTTTCCAATAAAGATTTTTCACTTTTCAATCATAAAATATAATTTTTTCTTTTATTTGTTTGTTTGCTTGTTTTTTTCATTTTTTATTATTTTTAAATTTAAAAGGAAAAATAATTTCTTTTTTTGATTGCATTTCGCCTATTTAACCAAATATAATGAACTAAATTATTCTTTTTTTTTTCATATACATATATGTATATAAAAAGGATAAAATATTATTGTTATTGCTATCATTTTATTATTATTGTCATAGGCATATTGTCCTGGTTCTTTCTGTTCAAAATATATAATTATATATATAATATATGTGGGATATATATACGAGTATATAATATTTATCCAATGAATATTGTTATAAATATACACATATGTATTTAGTACATAGTAAATTGAATTTATATTTAATATTATTGTATATATATATAATTTAAATATATATATATATATATATATATATATATATATATATATATATATATATATATATGTATATATGCAAATGTGTAAAGTATTTAAATTATATTTTATTGTTCACTTAGGTAATACAAATATATTATATGTATATAGGGAATATTTTCTATCTAAAGAAATTGTTAATTGCACATATAGTAATTTCAATCGTATTTATATACAAAATAATTTTCTATATTTGATATATATATGTGATATATGCATATATAATCGAATTAAAATTTAAATATAATTATTTATGTACAATTAAATATAAATAATGTGTATTATGTAAGCATAGGAATGTTAATATATGTATATATATATGAAAACTGCAAAAACAATAAAATTCTTTGTTTAAATATGTGTGCAGTAAACCATATAAACATATATAATTCATATATATTACTATATGTATATATTACTATATGTACATATTGCATATATGTTATATGTTGTCCTTTATATTTAAATATTGTCATTATATAAGCAATATTTTATATATTATTTTAAAATTAAATTCTCTATACTAAGCATATTCAACAACAATAGCATATATATATTCACATATAAGTAATATCTATGATACTTTTGTATATAAACAAAAAATTTCGGTAAAAAAAAGTATATATGTACATATATTATATGTACTTATTCATATACATACAATTTTTTTAATTCTCATTATAAACAATGTGTATAATATTGAAAAAATTGTTAAATATTCCTTTATTTAAAAAAAAAATACCGTTATACATATACGTATATAACAATTTTATATGTATATATAAGCATATATATATGTACATATAAGCATGTGTATAATATTATAGTGTTTTGGTCGTCATTCGTTACCGAAAAACAAAAAAAAATTTTTTTGATCATTTTATGTTTTACAATCTTCCTCCTTTGTTTTCGTTTACATAAAATTTTATTTAAATACATACATAAATATATATACACAAATTTATGTACATATTTTTTGTTCACACATTTAAAATACATATGTACATAGAGATGTAAAATATAAACTTAAATTACATATTATTTTGCGTACATAAAAGTATAACAGTAAAAATTTTGTAACAAAGGCAAAATTATAGTATGTTTGGCACTAAATTATATATACATATATAAAATGTTTACATACATATTGTGTTCATACATATAATATGTATACTTGCATTAGTATTAAATTTTCCAAAAAATAAAATTTGTTTTTGTTTTTTTGTTAAAATATTTATATATATGTATATACTTTTATATAATATAACAGTATATATTTTTTAACTATTAAAGGTAAGGTGCAATATTGAGAATGAGGATCAAAGAAAAAAGAAACGCAAAATGACGCTCGACAGAAGAGTTTTTTTCATTGTTTTTTTTTGCTTTTTGCTGTACATACTTTTTGTTATATACATACATATATATGCATTTAAATATTATAATTTTTGATATTATATTTTAATTTAAACAACAAATTTAATACGAATTTGTTGTATATACGGTAAATTACGTTTTAACTTATAAAATTATACGCGTTCCTTTGGAGAAAAATCTATTTGATATTGATCAAACATATTTATATATATACATAAATACATGTATTATGTATACTATTTGATATGAATATTATAGCAATCAGTGAAGATATGATCTATAAGTTATAGAATTTTTCGAGTAAATTAAGTGTAAAGTTGTTTTTTGGCAAGGTTTTTCGAGAATTCTAAAATTCGATTTTTGAAT